ACTGACAGAACAATCAAGGCCAACCGGCCAGATATTGTTATTAAAGACCACAAACAAAAACGGTGCCTCCTTATTGATATGGCAGTCCCTGCTGACTGCAATGTATCTTTGAAGATATTCAAAAAGTTGTCAAAGTACAAGGACCTTGAAACAGAAATCTCGAAAATGTGGCATATGGGAACATCAACAATCGCTGTTGTAGTTGGATCCCTAGGACTGGTTGGAAAAGATTGCAGTAGACAAATTGAAGGGATTCCTGGAAGTCCATGCCTCAAGGAGATACAAAAAATTGTTCTGACAAGTACAGCCCACACCTTACGAAGGGCTTTATCTATGTAATTTAATTTTTTTTTTTTTGTCAGTGGAAAGTGTCATGACGCCATTTCTAACCTTAGGTCCCTGGGCGGGACCCGGAAAGAAATGTGTAAACGTCAGAAATCAAAGAAAATAAAAATAATAATAATAATTGATGTCATTAAAATAAAATAAAAATTTAAAATATATCAAAAATTTTATTTTGGATCTCATTATTTGAATTTTGGATTTCTTTTTATTTGATGTTATTTGCCGTAAAACAAGTTTTTTTTTTTCAAAATGATGTATTACTTTCCTTTTTGGCTTTATATATCATATGACGCTTCTAGCAATCAAGAAGTGGGGGGTATTTGGGGGTATTTGGGGGCCAATGATGTGTGGAGGTGGAGTCATAATTAAAAGTGAATGAGGGGAAAATGTTCCCTTGTCTCTCATGAACGTGTGTTGAAGAAAATTGTCTTTTATGTGTCGTCTACCTTCAGATCGTAGATAATCAATGTGGCACCATGCATACCTAACGAGCTGAAAAGAAATATTCATAAATATATGATTTGTTTTTTACTGTTTGTCAACCATTTGATAATTATTCAGGGCTGAAAAATATTTCGGGTTTTAGGAATAATTCTTTCTTTGCATTCAAGCGATCTGGAAGAAGGAAAGAGAAAACGAAGACAGAAGAAAAAGAAAAAAAATAAATAATACGAAAACAGGTCATAAGCGATCACACACACGCTCGGCTGACGCATAACAGGTGTCGAGATATCCAGGTCAAGCATCTAACCGAGATCTGGGGAAAATAGAAGTTGTTATCAATTGGTTGAAGAAACGAAGTTTAGGGACAATGAAAAAAAATATTGATAAGTAACAAGTGGACAGTGTGTCCTTGGGATGATAGTAAAAGTCTAAGTGGGTGGGGAAGTGTATCTAAGGATATGAAGGCAAACCATTAATACGAAAACACCCAAGACGATGTCGCTGGAAAATCTTTTATTTTTTTTTTTTAGATAATAAAGATTTTTATTATCAGCCCTTCAGGCGGGGGAAAATGAAATATTTTTATTTCGTTCCAAAACGCCAAAAGGTCTGAGAAATTTCTTTCTTAGATCGTATACAATTAGCGATAAACTGCTTGACAAATACCACGTGTTAAAAAGCTGAAGGTGTCATCGCAGTCGCTCATGATAACGGCGATTTAAATTTTTTTTTTTTTTAAGCAAGGTGTTTCTTCCCCCAGAACAAAGCCACAGATTGTCCACACCCGACTAAAGACGTCATTGGCTAAATAAGATCACATGACACACGAAGGAGGAGAAAGATAGCCGACCAGGACGTCATTGGCTAAATAAGATCACATGACACACGAAGGAGGGGGAAAGATAACGAAACAAGACCTCATTGGCCGAAAGCGGTCACATGACATACGAAGAAGCGAAAGAAGCGGGTATACGCCCCTCAGAGGCACAGTAAGGAAGTGGGAGTGTAAGTGAGTTACCGAAAATGGAAAATCCCTAACCAGAAATAAGAAGGGTGGATACGTATTTAGAATTATCGAAGAAAACCCTGGCGCCGACAGACCCGCCCCAGTTTTGACTGCGTCAATAAAAGCGGGACCCCAACCGACAGAAATCAGAGTTTGCGCCGCGGACGGCGAGGGAGTTTGAGCGCGGACGGCGGGCCAGGTTCATTCGCCCCTTTGCGGGCAAGAGAGGCCAGTTCGTTTGGCCTAAGTGAAGAAGTTCGTCCAACCCAAGCCGAAGTAAAGAAGTTCGTCCAACCCAAGCCGAAGTGAAGAAGTTCGTCCAACCCAAGCCGAAGAGAAGAAGTTAATTCGCGCACTGACGGCGGAGATGAGTGACCAGTAATTCAGAAGCCGAAGAGAAGAAGTTAATTCGCGCACTGACGGCGGAGATGAGTGACCAGTAATTCAGACTCTGAAGAGTTTGAGTTGGAGTTTGAGAGCGGACGGCGAGAGAGTTTGAGTTGGAGTTTGAGCCGTGAACGACAAGCAGAGATGAGTGCCCAGTGTTGAAACCGCGTCAAGATAGCTGACCAAGATTCATGCACACTTCTGGACTCTTCTTCAACCAAGAACAAGTAGTTTGAAGAGCGACTTAGAATCAGACCACAGAAGTGAGTTTTTTTTCGACTTTCGTCCAAGGACACGCCGAAACACAAATTTCTTAGAGAGCAGACAACTGGAAGCCTTAAAGTTGCCTAGTAAAAGCGTCGTGCCACAATCCACAGAACGGGTCGGGAAGTAGACATAGTCCTATGTACCGAGCAAATAGACATAAAAAGTTTGTTACCTTTTTCTTGATATGTTGGACCTTGTGAGTTTTATTTTATTTATTTTTTTTTTATACATAATTGTGTGTTATCACCCCCGTTAGACTCAACTTGCATTACGGCCCCAAGCCCTGTTTGATCTCGTCTGTCTAAGATCAAGTCACAACGTGGGTAGGCAGACCGGAGATCAGTGCAGTTACCCTGGTAACCAGGTGTTGGAAGCGGGTTGAGAACGACGAGGCTGGTATCAATCTAACCAAAGGGTTAGAACGACACGTTTGGAGCAGCGAGGAGCGAACAGCTGACGCCGCGACAAAAGACGTCACAACTGGTGCTGTCCGTGACCAGGGTATCAGAGCCTGGGGAGCACGTGACGTCACAATTGGCGCCGCGAACGGGATCGAACGACACAGTCGACGCTGCGACCGGGGGACGACGTCACATCAATGTTCTCCACAACTTCCTATCCTTTGTAACTCTAAGCAATAATTGTACCTTTATTATGCCTCTCAATTCCTTTTTTGTCACCCAATTAACGCAAGCCCGTAAGGTAGGTTAATTTATGATTTTATCAGTCTCTCTTGCTTTTAGTACGCCTAACGAGTATCAAATTCTTCAACCCGTCTTTCCTCATGATGTGTAAGGGAAAATTAAATTGTCTCTCTTTCCATCATTGTCAGATGCTAGCCGCGACCGAACATTTGGCCGAGAGACATGTGGCTGAACGGACATTTGGCCAACGGATATTTAACCGAAATAGTACAAGTAAAAATAGTAAAATGCAATACATTAAGTATTTTAATTAGTAGTATTATAATATAGAATAGGACTAGTAATTACCATTGAGTTTCAAGTGATTAAATTACTAAATCAAAATTTAAAGTTAAAAGTTTTCGTATTTCAATATTTGTTTATTGAAATTAGTATTTTTAAAAATATTTGAGTGTATTTGGTAAAAAGTAGCACCTAATTATTTAAATTAGTATTTAACAGTAAGATAAAAACAAGTTCATCCATTTAAGATAATGATCATTAAAAACGAAATTAAAAGATCTTTCATATCGTAAAATCTTAAGATTTTTGCTGCAGTAAAATGTGCTTTTTCTTAAAATACTTATCATCTTACAATAATATTTGAAGTAAAATATAATATATACAGAATAGATTTTATATATATATATATATACATATATATATATATACATATATATATATATATATATATATATATATATATATATATATATATGTGTGTGTGTGTGTGTGTGTGTGTGTGTGTGTGTGTGTGTGTGTGTGTATACAAAGTACAGGTTTGGTACGCATGGAGTAAAATTCGAATAACGAAAAACACTATTCTTAAAAAGAGTGGTCAATACTACTATAACAAATTATAACATGTAAGACAACAGCAGTGTTAAAACAAAATTGCAACCTTTGTAGTGAACTTATAACATGTATATCATATAAATTTGAATATATATATATATATATATATATATATATATATATATATATATACTTTATTTTAGTATATTACCTCAAAAAACATGTCAAAATCGCTACTCAATTGCAGTCGTGTTTCGATGCGTATCAATAAATAATTGTAAATTACAATAACATGCTGATTTCATTCGTTGATACGCATCAAATGACGCCTGCAATTGTGTAGCGATGTTGAAGTTTTTCGGGCTAATATCATAAAGTAAAAAAGATATTGCACAACTTTTGTATTAAGCCCTGTTTTAAATTAAATGTTACGAATGCTGGAATTGTACTGTAATCGTTCTAGTCTTAACTGTATATATATATATATATATATATATATATATATATATATATATATATATAATGGATATGATTCTGTGACCCTTGGTTTCACGCTGTTCCAATCATCAGACAAAACTCAGGGTCACAAACTCATATCAGTACAACTTATGTTAGCTCTATCGCTACTGTTGAGCACTTTCCATTAAGCGCTGCGCATATATATATATATATATATATATATATATATATATATATATATATATATATATATATATTATGTTCAAAACACAAAATAATTATTTAAAATTAGATTAATCATTTTCTTAATGAATTCAAATTCAGTTATTATTATAATTTAGTATTATTTGTGACCTAATTACTACATTTAAACATGTTCAGATAAAGAAGTTGAGTTGTCTCCTCTTTTTCAATTGATTGCTTTTTTCATGAGAAATCTGTAAGATGACTGTTTTCGAATTTGGTAAGAAGGAATCATCAGTGTTTTTAATGCAATGTTACACTTTACTTTCCCAACTTTAAGAACATTTGCAATTTTATAAAATCTGCGATTGTTCGCTTATATAAATAGCCAAGTTTTTATGGCCTCGAGGCTAAATTGTTAGCTAGAAAACAGGTGCCGCTGTCGTGGGTATGACTGCGCTTGCTATTGTGACGGTCTTGAGTAAGGACGGAAGAGCAATTTGAATAGGAGTGTGCATTGCTGAATGGATGAAGACTTGAGGTAGAGGAATAGTGTTGGGTAAACAAGAGCTCTGGAAGGAGGAGAGCCCGCTGGGGTTGGGAGAGTAAGGAGCACTATATGAGAACAAAAGAGGAGAGTCAGGATAGAAGAAGAATAGATGAAGCTAACACAATATCCAAATTGTTCCTGACCTCTGGGGAGCCACTTATGCAACATTAAATTAGGTTTCACGAACCACCACCCCCCAACACGCACACACACACACACACACACACACACACACACACAGACACGCACGCCCTCTCATTCGGAGAGTCACATATACAAACATTCACGTGCAGACGTCTAAAAAGACGTTCCTACTTGTGGCGTAGGAGATAACACATTGTTTTGACAGAAAATAATGAAGATGGATTCGTTCCTTGTGAATAGCTACAAATATTTAATGACCTTGTGCCAGAACTGAAGTATATTTCTTTCTTTAGCCTTGCTAGATTTACGTTTCATTTTAAAAAAAAAACAAACAAAAAAAAAAACATCGTGGTAAAAACAAAAAATAATGGTGAAGATGTTCATCTATTTTCAGGAATATGAAAAAAGTTATTTTTTTAAAAAAATGATGTTCAACTTGTATAAGGCCCAAGAGCCACTGGTGGTCGAAGCTTACACTGTAAGAGGTACCAGCGCAAACAAGGTGATAATATCACCAAGACGAAGTGGGGGACTGGAAGTAAAGGAGAAGGAAAAAAAAAAAAACGTTAGAAAGAACCGGAAACCCAATCCTAACAGAAAACAAGGGATAAACCTCTACTCCTGTTCAAAATATCGGGAAGATAGACAAACCTATCTACTCCTATAGAGGAAAAAAAATAAATGATTAGTAAATAAATTTAAAACCTCAGACAACTGTCATGAAGTAGTATAAAAAACAACTTAAACTGTTGAAATTGCTAGATGTATTCATTAAGTTATCCCCTAATACGTTTTTCTTTCGCACTTCTCGTTTGTGGAACTCATGTCCGTCTCTTTTTTTCCCTGCCAACGTCGACTTTCCGGAATTTAAACACAACGTTAATCGTCATCTTCTGTTCCTTTTCTCTTCTTTTATTGTCCTCCTCCAAAAATAATTTTTCTTAAATTCTTTCACAATCACTAACCCCTTACGTCTTATCGAAAAGTATTAACCAAAATAACGAAGATAAATATATTTCAATAGTTAAGGGAATTATTGCAATTCTATAACACATTGAAGGCGCAACTCAATAAACAAGCCTGGACTGATTGATCATTTACGACATAGTATTGACTTCGTTCCGCACTGCGTGCCCCATACAAAATTCGGCAACGTCACAATTTATGACATGGTATAACATCAAACAACCATGTGTAGTGTTATAGTCAGCGATGCTTGACTGGTTAAACATTACTACTGACTAGTGACTTCGTTCCGCACTGTGTGCCCCAAACAAAATTCGACAACCCAAAAAGGGTTAACATTGTTAGGAAATCAACCCACCTAACTCTGGGTGAGGTAATAATTAATGAGGTGAGTTTGTTTGGCCATTAGGACTGAGTCGCGTAATCGAGCCTCATTGGGTGCACCACACACACACACACACACACACACACATATATATATATATATATATATATATATATATATATAAGATTATATTTCTCACAACACGAAGGTTTTATGGTAATCAGCGGGCATATCTTCTATGTCCCTTCAAGTCGTTAGAGATTATGGCTCTCCACAATTTCCTGTCCTTTGTAGCTCTTAATAACTTTTTTCTTTTGGCCATCTCTCCGAAAACCTGACCTGCCATACATCCGCTCGGGTTCACCAGACAGGTTGTGGGTTGCTTTCCTCTTGCCTTATTACCTTCAAGCTATTCTGTGAGTATCAAATTTTGTTGCCGTTGTTTCTCAGAACTTCCTCATTCCTCACATGTTCTGTCCCTGGTATTCACAGCATCCTTCTGTAGAATCATATTTCTGCTGCTTCAAGTCCCTTCTTCATCTACGACAAGATTGTCCAGCATTCACTGAATAAAGGACTGAATAAAGGACTGATATTACATAAGAGTTAAGTATCTTTGTTTGTAACAAGATTTTTTGTTTCTTCATGCTTTGCTTAGCTTTTGGAAGGCATCTTTCACCTTCCAAATGCGACTTCGGATTTCGGTGTTGCACTTTCCCTTCTCTATTAATATGCTTCCCAGATATCTAATTCGTTGAACCTATTTGATTTCGCCATCCCCAATCTATAATTGCATGTTTTGCTGTCCCTTTTGCTAACAACATTCTGTTTTCATGCAATTGAAGTTTAGTCCTTTCTTCTCGCTTTCCTTTTATCCAACATTTTCTGCCATACGTATAGGAGTACCAATATTACATGACTGTTCACTTCTCTTTTCTTTGCTTCCAATGAAATTTTTCAATTACTTAATACTTTGCTTAGTTTTTAGTAAGCATCTTTTGATATTCTAATGTCACATTTTGAATATTTTTTAAAAACACTTCTTATATATTTGAGTCATCAAATACATTATTTTGTTATGAAATTTAAATTATCTATAAATCAAAAATCCATGAATAATTACATTGGGCATACAATCACTTGCTTATCATGACAGCTGACCTTTCATAATAGTTAAGTATTCTTTTCTTTGTTTCTAACGATATTTTTCTGTTTCTTAATATTCTGCTCAGCTTTTGGAAGGCATCTTTCGCTTTCCAAATGCGCTTTCGGGGTTCCGTGTCGCACTTTCCGTTCTCTGTTAATATGCTTCCCGGATATCTAACCAGTTGAACCTGTTTGATTTCGCCATCCCCAATGTGTAATTTGCGCGTTGATCTGTCCCTTTTTCTTACAACCAAGCATTCACTCTTCTTGTAATTCTTCCGATAAAATCAAAAAGTCTCCTTTCTTAAGGTGAGATTAGAACCCGTGTCTCATTTTCGGAAAGCAAACATTCTAACCACTTGGTTATACTACACACACGCACGCACACACACACATACACACATACACGCACACATACAGACACTCACACACATACTCACACATGCACACACATACACACACACACACATGTGTGTGTGTGTGTGTGTGTGTGTGTGTGTGTGTGTGGCCGAAGTCACATGAATTAGATTCGGCTTCTTCAGTTTGGAATGAAAGAACTGTGTATCCTGATAATGCGCTGGGATTTTGAGGATAAAAAGGACAATAAATTGAATAATTTATTGGTTTGGAGGTGATGTTGACAAAGTTTAGGTTAAGGGTGGATAAGCTGGAACCGTTGGTTGAAGAACATTCACCTGGCATTGATGACATCAGATGCGTGCTTTTAGAGTCTTCACTTAAAAGCCGAACAAGACGCAGACAGGAATTAAAATATATTTCCAAAACAAAAACTCACACATTAAAGTATTAATGATAAATTTGGGTTTACTCAGAAAATATAGTTTCTAAAAGGAACCCTCTAAGTAACAACAATAAAATTCCTAGGAAGAATGACTCCCACTTTGTTTATTCCTCGTCTCACTGAAAAACGACACAGACGTGTCCGAAAATTCCGACTTTAAAATCTTTCTCTTCATGGTTCAACTTAGTCAAAAAAGGGTAATATATAATTAATACTATCAATCATATTGTTAATATTTTGTTGGCTTTTTATTCCTCAAATGTTATTAACCGGCCTGTTAAATCTACATATATGTACATAGAAAAATTACAACTATCAAATACATTAATTTATTGCCTTAGCAATTCACTTCTGAAGAAGATCTTGGATGAGAGAGAAAGTACTAAATAAAAGAAATGACCAAAACTACGGCGTCTTTCTTAATCAATTTAATAAGAACACAAACAATTTGATTCGTGAATTTGAGAGGATTAAAATAAATAGAAATAATATGTCTAGATCATTCAAACAAGCATGCGAGAATGAAGATATGCTACCTCAATAATATATATATATATATATATATATATATATATATATATATATATATATATATATATCCTAATTAAGTAATTCCTCTAGTCTAGAAGAAACCTCAACAGCATGCAGAAAGAACTGGACGGCCGTTTCGTCCTATATTTGGGACTCATCAGCAGTGCGCATCCACTACCACTGCTAGTCGCGGCTTTGGTGGGGGGGGCACAGTCCTAAGGATAAGGTAAACTCGGATGAGTTCCACCACGGAATATATTACCTTGTGGCGCTATATCGAGTCTAATAAGTTTTTCGTCACTGAGGCCCGTTGGCATAGAGTAACTGTCCGGGTTTCAATTCTCGGTAGTGGAGGCGCACTGTTGAAGAGTCCCAAAATAGAACGAAATGGCCGTCCAGTGCTTTCTGCATTCTGTTGAGGTTTCTTTTAGACTCGATGAATTAATTAATTATGATTATCTCAAGTCCTCCTTAATTTCTATCATACACACAAATACACACACACACACACGATATATATATATATATATATATATATATATATTAAATATATATATATAATATAATATATATATATATGTTTGATCAATATATATTATGTTTGATCATGAGCCGTTCTAAGCTCCGTATATTTGTTGAGGTGGATAGGACGACGTGGAGCAATTTAGTGGCCATCACGATCACCAGACGCAAAAAGTCTAGTGGTTTTTATTAGACATTTGGAACTGTCCCTTATCAAACCAAATTCATAAATAATTATATCGGTCAGACTACTCCATGCCTATTCAGACGCCTTACGTCACACCTAACCGACCACAGCTCCATTAGAACTCTTTTAGACACACACACAAACTTACCAGACTCTATCCGAAACGTATTAGTAGAAAATACAAATACGGAATTTGGACAGTTTCTACACATTCTGTGTCCAGTAAAGAAAACACTTGTTCGAATACAAGAAAAATTGAATAAAAAGATTAATCGCAGTTTCTTGTGTGTCGTCTTTAATGAAGCACACACACACACACATATATATATATATATATATATATATATATATAGTTTATTCCTATATATATATATATATATATATATATATATATATATATATATATATATATAGGAATAAAAGTATCACTGCCGACACTGGA